AACCTGAAGAAAGCATTCACCACCGCCCCCATCCTTGCTCACCCTGACCCAGAGAAGCCCTTCGTCGTCGAAACTGACGCCTCCGACTTCGCTCTTGGCGCAGTTCTCCTCCAACCTGACCAGGACAATCAGCTCCACCCCGTGGCCTTCCACTCTCGCAAATTCACGGCCGAAGAGATCAACTACGAGATATACGACAAGGAACTTCTGGCCATCCAAGACTCCTTTGCCCAGTGGCGCCACCATCTCATTGGCGCCCGTCACAAGATCACCGTTTCCTCCGACCACAAAAACCTTCAGTACTTCATGACAACCCGCACCCTGGAACCGCCGCCAAGCCCGCTGGTCGATATTCTTCTCGGATTTTGACTTTGTCATTACCTATCGCCCCGGTCCCCAGCAGCACCAAGCCGATGCCCTCTCCCGACGCTCCGAACATGAGCTAAAAGAGGGGGAAGAAGCGTTCCGCTCCCAGGCAACCACAATTTTGACTCCCGAACGCCTTCGACTCGCGGCTGCCTACATCACACCCATGGATACCACGCTGCTTGACAAGATTAAGGCCGCCCAGGCCTCTAATCCCCTCGCTAAGACCATTCGCGAAAAGCTCAAGATACCCCTCGCCCAACGAACTGAGGAAACCCAAGATCGTATCAAGCGGTTCTCAGATGAAGATGGGATCCTGCTGCACGATAACCTGGTCTATGTCCCCACCAACGAGCTCCGAGCTGAAGTCTGCCACGACATGCACGATACACCCCTAGTCGGCCACTTTGGGATGTCCAAGACGCTCGAACTCGCCTCCCGCAACTACTGGTGGCCCAGCCAGTGGCGCTTCGTCAAGGCCTACGTCAAGTCCTGCGATACCTGTAGCCAAGCGAAATCCAGTCGACACAAACCATATGGCCTACTCCAGCCCAACAGTATCCCTACCCGCCCTTGGGGATCTTGGTCCCTGGACTTTATTACCGGCCTGCCTCCCGTGGACGGGTACGACTCCATCCTGAACGTCAACTGTCGCCTCACCAAGATGGCCCACTTCATCGCCTGCAGCAAGTCAGAATCCGCCGAATCCACCGCCGACCTAGTCTTCCACAGCATCATCCGTCTCCACGGCCTCCCTGACGACGTCATCTCTGACCGAGGACCCCAGTTTAAGTCCCGGTTCTGGCGTCAACTTCTCAAACTCCTTGGGGCAAAAGCCAACCTCTCCTCGGCCTTCCACCCCCAGAGCGATGGCCAGACGGAACGCACCAACCAGATCCTGGAGCAGTATCTCCGATGCTTTTGCAACCACCAACAGGACAACTGGAAACAGCTTCTGTCGTCCGCCGAGTTCGCCTACAACAACACCCATCAGTCCGCCTCCCAGACCACCCCCTTCTACGCCAACAAGGGTCTCCACCCCCGCTTCAGTTTCGCGGCCTCTGCTACCTCCAAATCCGTCAACCCCGCCGCTGAAGCCCGCGCTAAACAAATCAGGGAAGTCCATGAACAGCTCGCCCTCGAGCTCAAGGAAGCCCAAGATCAAATGAAGCGCTACGCCGACGCCAAACGAATTCCTGGACCGGACTTCAAGCCTGGCGACCACGTCTGGCTCCTCCGCAAAAACCTCCATACAACCCGGCCCTCTCAGAAACTCGACCATCGCAAGATTGGGCCATTCCCCATCGTTGAAAAAATCAATCCCGTCGCCTACCGGCTCAAGCTCCCGCCTACGTACAAAATCCACAAATTCTTCCATGTCTCGCTCCTCAAACCCCGCTTCACCATCCCCGAACGACACGAACCCGAACCCGCGCGCCCAGAGACCGTTGAGGGTCAAGAAGAGTGGGTTGTCGAAGCCATTCTTGACTCTCGCATCCATTGTCGTCGCCTTCAGTACTTGGTCAAATGGCAGGGCTGGCCTGACTCCGAGAACACCTGGGAACCCGTGGAACACCTCACCCATACCTACGCACTCCTCCAGGACTTCCACAGCGCGTACCCCAACAAGCCTTCCTCTGTCCCCGTAGCACCTCCTCTGCGGCCACACCAAACTCCACGCCGCCGCCGCCGCCGCTAAAGAGAGGGGTGCTGTTATGGACGACGCGCCCATACCATAAGCTTACCTACTGACAGCCGCCAATGTCAACCGCCAAATGTCAAACGCCAATGTCAATGTCAATGTCAGTGTCAATGTCAGTGTCAATGTCAATGTCAATGTCAGTGTCAATGTCAATGCCAATGCCACTCCCCCTCTCTCCTCTCATTTTGCCAATCCTCTTGCAATATTGTCACTCCTCCTCTCTCCTCTCATTTCGCCAATCCCCCCTCGGCTTCTCTACACCCCCCACTACTTCCCCATAGCCAGCAGCTGTAGCAATGCTCTCTACGCTCGCCACGCACGCTCTAGGAGCATAGCTGGCGCCCCCCCAGTCCCCTCTTGTTGTTGTTGTTCTCTGATCTGCTGGGTTGCCTATCTATAAATAGCCGGCCTCTCTTCGTCCGTTCCCTTCCTCCCCAGCAGATCAACACCAGTTCTTCTCATCTCCTGTTCTAGTCCTTGTTTCTTGTTTCGCCAATACAATCTCTTGTCGCCTATCACTCTCGCCCTGTCTTCTCTACTTCGCTTCCGCCTCCGTCGTCGAGATCATAACAGCCTGAGAGTTGCTCATCGTAGGTTGGCGGAGAGATCTTGAAGGGTGGTGCTACCATGTAATAATGCTAGGTCCGTTGCCAGAGGCTAGTTCTGTCTCCGCTGGATGTATTGAAAGAATTCTAGAGTTTCTACCTGCCAGGGCGCCGCCCGAAGGCTTTTCTTTCCTTTGTGAGTCACCCCAGAGCGTAGAACTCCAATATAATCTATGCTACACATGATCTCATGCCCTACGCGCTCCCCGCACTAAGGTGACACCTGCAGCACCTCATTACAACTAGACTTCTCTATATATCTTCATACACAGACAAGGGCTTCGTCTCCCCATCACATAGAGTTCGCTCAGTCATCTGCTCCCTCTGCCGACTACTGGTAAGTGGTTATGAGCCCTGGCTCCGCCCGCAACTAGCGGACGAGTCAGCATAAAGAACTCTCGGTCTCCCGTCGCCAATTGTCAACTTGGATTCAACAACCAAACTCAGGAAGAGCTCTCCCGAACCCGCTGCCGCCGACTAAATGCCCGGTGGATATGTGGAAGAGAGGAAGGGGGAAAAGTCTATTGCAGAGTTGGAAGACGCAACCACGACGTGTGTGAATGCGCCCAAATTTTGCGGACCCGCGGGAACCGACAACCCCTTCTTGATGGACCCAATGGATCCCAATCAGGAAGGGTATATTCCTATCAAGCAGGAAGACAGGCTTCTTCATCTAGAGTACCAGATAGCCGTCGCTTTGGCTGGACTACTTAGCAGTAGTCGGCAGAGGAAGCAGATGACTGAGCGAACTCTATGTTGTGTGAGATGTAGTACTGTGAAGTATGTATTGAAGTCTTGTGTGTAGAAAACGGACGTGAGGTCCGAGGGGGAAGAAAGGAGTGAACTCCCGTACGCGTAAGCGTGGCGTAAGCGGGAGGTGAGTCACAAGGGGAACTTAACTAGTAGAAACCCTAACTAGGGACTCAACTACGGGAACCCTAACTAAGGACTCGGGAGGATGATACCTCCAACACTGTAACGGGAACACACACATTTTGGCTTAGTGGTTACGACACCTGGCTCTCACCCAGGTGGCGTGTGTCGTAGTGCAGGTGTAATTTAAATTACACCTGCACTACGACACTGCTATTTTCTGGTTATGTAACTGTGGTGTATTCGGTGCATAACTGGTCTGTATACTGGTCATAACCATTACAGTACATAGTATGTATGCATTACGTCCCAGTTACGCCGCTGATTCATAGGTGCTACTTTCCCGTTATTCCTTCGCTACATGCCCGTTACTCCTAGGTCTTTGTAGCAGTTATATACTGCTTAATCGGCGAGTTTATCGATAACAACGGCCTCGCCGATCAAGCCATGGAAAATGCGATGGGGCCAGCTTGACTAACCCGCCGCCCGCTACCATTGCTGCCACTTTCCCGTTATTCCTTCGCTACATGTCCGTTCCTCCCAAGTCCCTGTATCAGTTACATACTGGTTACCCCGGTGAGTTTATCGATGAGAACGCCCTCGGCGATGAAGCCATAAAATGCGTTGGGGCCAGCTTGACCAAACCCGCTGCCCCGCTACCATTGCTGCCATACTCGTCGCTAGAGACTCTACTTGGCGACTACGTCCGCCTCCTTCTGTCTCCTTCCTCTTCTCTTCACTGTCTTCAAACACACCCTCCCATCCTTCCATCCTGCCGTCGCTAGTCGCATCGGCCATGTTTCATCTCATGTCTGAACGACGCGATGGATTCTATTCGCGCGTCACGTGACAACTCCATCCCTGCCTCCAACTCTGCCTCCATCGCATCACGGACATGCGACGCAATGCGATGAAGTCCATGTTTCATCTCATGTCTGAACGACGCGATGGATTCTATTCACCCGTCACGTGACAGCTCCATCCATCCATCTCATGTCTTCATCTCATCACGGACATGCAACGCAATGCAATGAAGGCCATGTTTCATCTCATGTCTGAACGACGCGATGGATTCTATTCGCGCGTCACGTGACAGCTCCATCCATCCATCTCATGTCTTCATCTCATCACGGACATGCAACGCAATGCAATGAAGGCCATGTTTCATCTCATGTCTGAACGACGCGATGGATTCTATTCGCGCGTCACGTGACAAGTCCATCTCTCTCCATCGCATCACGGACATGCAACGCAATGCGATGAAGTCTCCATCTCATGTCTGAACGAACGGATGGATTCTATTCACCTCAACGCGTCCTTACGGGCGACGCGATGCGATGCGATGAATTGACACTATTCCATATACATACAGATCCTATTTGGACACACAAACACGCTAGCCTACAAGAATCTCACGACCCGCTGTACATCCAAGCTGCCATTCGTCACCTCTCTCAAGGGTCAACAGGGACAAGTTCAAGGCCTTCTTCTTTGTCAGCCGACGCATCTTCAGCCTTGTTGACCACCGCATCTTTGATCAGCGCAACTTGAACCGTCTCGGCAAACGGTCCGTCGCTGGCCGCAATCACTTCTGGTTCCATGCCATAAGTAAATACTGGATCGTCCGCTACAACCGATCCGGTCCTTTGATCGTCACCTGCAGAGTGAGCGCCGTCCTCGTGCTCAGGCCGGTCTTGCAGCTGGGCGACGATATTGGTGACTAATCCAGGCATAAGACGCTGCACAATCTGGTTGACGGTAACCGCCAGGTCGGGAAAGTTCGGACCAGTAACCCGAAGTCGCTGCGCCGCGGGAGGTGGAGTGGGGTCCTCTAAGGGTCGAGCTTGCAGCGCAGCCTGTTCAGCTTGATACTGCTCTAGACGAAGCTTGCCGCTCCAACGGTCGTACCAACGATTTTCCTCGACGGTATGGCCACGAACGTGCGCGAACCGGCGCTCTACCTCGTTGGTCATGTCGGGCGGGCGGTTCAAGGTGATCTCAAGGATCCGAAGGAGATTGAGGGTGACGTTGTGACCCGTCAGCTCCTGCAGAAGACGGTTCATGACGTCGCGGAACTCGTTTGCGTCCCAAGGTCGGTCATCCTTGTTCGTGAAGAGGCACCCCTCGGTTTCACCCAGAGGCAGATCTTTGCGGAACATCTTGTAGAAGTCGGTCTGGTAGTGGGCAGAGATGTTGCCGAGCTGGGTTATCACGCGCTCTTGATGCTTGGCCCTTGCATGGTAGGAGTGAACCTCCCCAAGCTGCGAAAACAAGGCCAATGAGTCCTCGTTTCCAGCAGAAGCAATGTCGTGCTTCTCCTTGATATGAGCGGAGCGACAATTGGGCTCGCAACCGTAGCGGATCAAGTGGATGCCTAGCTCCACCTGGTATCGACGGTCGGCAGCCAATCCGTCGGAAAAGCGTCGTACTCGCTCTATTCCACCTTAAACGATTTGTGGGAAGAGTCTGTCAAGCTTAATGTCCTTGACTATCTCCCACTCATCCTCGCTGAAGTCGTTTCGTTCGCGATGGTTCACTGCGGCCGTTTGTTGCGCATCGGCGTCCGCGGTGGTCTCTGCGTCGATGCCTTGAACAGACGGAACCGCCATCGCTGCTTGGGGGTTGGGAAGTCCCGCTTGGATCCTATTGGCAAAGATCCTCAGCGCTGTCGCATCCCTTTTGAGGGCAAGCCTTGTTTGCGCAGTTTTGGCATGGAGGGCAAGAGCCACCTGAGCGACGAGGTCGGGATGCTCAAGTATGTTTTCAAGGAAAGTTGAAACATAGCCAAGGTATTGACCGAGGGTGTTGTTACCGAGGCGCGGGTTGCGGGCCAAGATGGCAGCTCTGAGCTGCTCCCGCCTGGATAGGTCGACTAGCAGGCCGGCGAACCAGTATTGGCTCACATTTGCCAAACGGCGTGTTCTCTCATTCACGCGATTGGTATTGTACGGGCTGTCGATGTACGTGCGGATCATCCCAGGGACGTCGCAGGATTGCAAGTTGATGACCAGCTCTGTCTGGCGCGTCTCGCTGTCGGAATCACTCATGTCGCGTGAGCTGTGTCGCGTGGCGTTTTCGCGTTCTTGTCACACGTGATTTCGGGGGCCGAGTCAATGAAGTCGCGAGTTTATCGATAAGATTTTGTGTTTATCGCAAACTCGTGAGTTGAGTTGAGTTGATCGCAGGGACCGAGACGAGAGTTGTATCTTGCAAGTTTCGTATCTGAAATATACTGAATACATAAGTACTGCGTCTGGCATCCTTTTCCCTCCCGTACATCCTTTTCTCTCCCGCACATCCTTTCCTTCCCCTCCCGTACATCTAAACGACTCGACCATCCTCGACACACATATAAGCACAGAAACCTCTCTGCCATCGACTCCGTAGCACCAAACGTATTTGTCTGGCACAGTGACGACCCAGACATCCGTACATCCCGCACCTCTCGCGCTTCGACCGGGCTACAGCAACGCAGCAGTCAACACTCACCTATCGTCTCAGGAGACAAACTCGCTTTCGTTTTCAGGACTTGACAGAACCCTATGGGAAGCGTAAATAGCTTCTATATGGGACGTCGTTCAAACGATAGATACGTCCTGCATTCCTACTGGAAGGCATGATCGTCTTGCCGTATTCGGCAGCAAGGACTTAGCAAGAATGCAGCCATGGCGATAACGATCCGGGAGCAAAGGGTACTACTCACAACGCTGATCATTGCGCCCGTTTTGTACGACGGGTCTAAGACTACAACAGACACGAGGGGACGCCGACGATATCTCATGGTGCCTATAGAGATGTTGATGGCCGTAGCCGACTCATATCGGACAGCCAGCTGCTGATGACGAAAGGATGACCTGGATGTGATCCCGATAAGGATCACGGGTCAGGGACTTGATTGCAGTCTGTTACCGCTGGTCATGCAGTAACTCTGTAGGAGCGCTAGTGGACCAATAGAAATGCGACACGCGCGGTGGAAAGTAGGAATGACGGAAGCTCATGAAAGTGGTGCCGTAGGGCGAAAAATGAGACCTGATGACCTTGATAAAGGGCCAGCCCTCCCGCCATTCCCGGATCAAGAATAGACAACGACGAAAGATGAACGCGGAGGAACTCACAACCTTTTTTGACGAGCTGTCTGACCCCCAAATCAAGTTGCAGCACGATGCGGCTTTTCACGCTCTCCTGGACGCCTACAGAGGCGCTGCGAGCAATGTTGAGTGCTGCAATAGCGTAGAAGAAATCGTGGAACTTCTGAACGATATGTTGCGCGAAGCGCATAAGATGGCTTTCAAGTTCGAGGAGCTACGAGGCCAAATCCTGGCGCGAAGGCATGCGATACTCCATGTTCGCCCCAGGGAGAATCTACCTCCCTATGTTCCTGCGCCCGCCGAGGACGCTACGACAAACCAGCCGAGCCCCGATATCTCCATGGAAGCGTCAGAGACATAGGAGCCCTATATAAACCGCGCCCTTTGTATATACTCTAGTAACGATGTCGCGATCGCGGATTCGAGTGGTAGCGGGTCATACGCTGTACAACTCGAAATGCGCTTCCTTGGAAGATCTCGGGGAGCTCTGCCGCGCCGTCAGAGGGAAGGAGAAGTTCATGTTTTACGTAGCTTTGACGGAGGAGAATAGACACATTTTCGAGACACTCGGAAGCATTTGTAGCTTCAAGGGAGGATTGGGAAAGAGACGGAGGGCCATGTTCGAGATTCGGAGAAGTGGATATCTTGGAATCGCGTATCATGGAGGGAAAGTCGTGGTGATCGTTGCCAGTGACATGTCCAGCAAACATAGCCACCTCGTGGCATGCTTTGGAGAACAGTAAATAATTTTATGGTGTCTAGGACAAAGATGATGATGAAGGAGGTCGCAAAACATCATCGAGAGATCTTGCAAAAGAAGGTCCCACTGGCATCCTTAGCGGACAACTTCCATTCGGCACGGGGGGAATGGAAGGTAGTGGGTCATACCTAACTCGCGGATGGGGTAGCAGAAGAGGTGGAGACAACGGTTGACGGGAGGTTAGAGATCATGGCGATCAGAACCTTCTACCAGAGGTTTGGCGTTCAAGGCGTCTATGATTTTGCTGAAGTATGTAATGGGCTGAGAAAGGACAACGGGGAGCATATCGAGCACATTGATTCTGAGGACGCCTGTGTATGCATGCATCTGATCCGATCTGTGTATTATCTCTGGAACGAGAAGACGAGACGTCTGATCAGAATGGGGAATGATTGCGTTAGATGGTTCAAAGAGCAAGATGTCGTCGCCAAAGGTCAGGTCGCCTTCTATCGGTCTCTCGCTGATTGTAAAGGGTGCCAGAGGAAGTACCGGTTCGCCGAAGGCGAGCGAAAGGTGACTTTACCGTCTGGGGCAAAGTGCCTGGCGAAGGATGTATCGCCTGGAACCTGTTACAACTGCGTTTGTAAAAGGATGAGCATCGTCCCGCGTTTCCGCGCTTGCCAAGGATGTGACATAGCTACGATTCTCCTAATGCAGAGGTACTGCAGACCATGTGGGGCGAAACGGACCCTCACCGTGGAGGCGTAGATGGTTTCAGCTTATGCGTCTTATACCCGCATATTATACCGCCATTTCCGCATATAGCACCTCTCCGTCGTTAACCAACCGGTAATCGTCCGGAACTGTACATCTTATACTTCTTAGAACCTTTTTTGAGAAAGGTTTGAGGATAAAAGAAGGAAAAGGATGTAGCTACAAGATGAAGGAGCGGTACTGTGGGACTTTGCTGAAAACGGTATAATTGTTCTAAATGGTCTAATCATCGCTCCCCGGGCTCTTCGGCATCCTTCGGGTCTTCAACCTTCCATTCCTGGCTTACAACACATTTCCAGCCGCGGATGGTCTTGCCCTTAGCCTCCCCGAAAGAAGGAGGGACATGAAAGTTGTGGCAATTCTTATCTTTGGGGTCTTTGCCAGGAAGGTACTTCTTGTCCATCAAGTCACGCAGACCTACGATGTGCTTGCCTGATGGGATGCCTTTCTTTTCACAGAACTTTACGAAAAGCGCATCGAAGGCGGAGCAGGTAATGTAGTGTTCTTGACTCGTTGGGGGTCTCACATAGTTTTCGAAGAACTCCGCCGCGGTGTTTTGGGTGTGACGATACTCGTCCGTTGCGTCTATGACGCATTGCGGCCAGACGGATCGTTTCATCCCTTCGCTTTCATATCTCGGGTAGTATACATCCACTAGTAACGCCAAGAATGTGTCTGCTGCAGGTAGCAGGTGCTTCTTCTCAAAGTCGGGTGAAGATTCCCGTTCGTTCGGCATGTTAGGAGTATGAGAGACAAACTCAGCATTGAAGGGTATCTTGCACAGCTTCCGCCAGAAGCCATGAGTCTTGTCGCGAATGATAGGCATGTTATTCAACGCGAGAAGGAAAGTGGCTTTGATGGTGAAGTTCTCGTTACTACCATAGTTCTCGCGGGCGGTATGCTGGTCACGTCCGATCCAAGATTTGATGAAGCCGGTTTCCATGGTTGGCCGCTCGTACTCAGTAGCGAAGGCCCCTCGCATGCCCTTAAGTTGCATCAGAGCAGGGCTAGCAGCGTTTCCGTTGTTGGGCTCGGAACCCAATAAAGCAGTGGAAAGCGAAGTACAATAGGGCCCAAGAGCGTGATTGAGAAGTCGAATCAGGGCGGATTTCCCATTCGATCCTGACCCGGCAAAGAAAAAACCTAACTGGTTCGGGTCATCTCCGTGAAGAATAGAAGCCAGAATCTTCAGCAAAAAATCCTCCAGCTCTTGATTATCCAAAGTTATGTCGGAGAAGAACTTCTTGACGGCTGCCTTCTTGTGAGGAGGGTGCTGTGCGTACGGGACATATTCGAGAGTCAATGCACGAGTGGAATAGTCCTGTGGGCTGCTCTTCCGGAACTCCGTCTTGCTGAAATCATACACTCCGTTGGAAAAGTGAAGAAGGTCATCTCTCGTATCCCAAAGCTTCCTGACTCGGTCATCACATATGTCATCTTGTAGTTTGCGCAGTGTTGAGCTCATTGTTCGGTTCGCACTGACGTGTGAGTACAAGGCCTTTGCCCGGCCGATTAGACGATCGAGCTCCTTTTTGTTTTGTTTCCCCTGCGCTTCATCGGTCCCCTCCGCATCTGCAGAAACGAGCTTCTTCCTTTCAGCTTCATAGTACGTCTGCAGCTGTCTCGACTCCTCCGCGATGGAGTCGAAGATCAGGCGTGCTATGACCCCGGCGTCCTTCACTTCCCAAATTCCTGCAACATCATTATACGCGTGCCATTTCAGCGGTTCGGACCCGGTGGTGCGTACGACTGTGCCTTCCAGTTGACTAAGCACCAGTTCCGCCACCGCTCGATCTTCGATCGGTAAGGTGCTAGTAACGATCGCGCTACATTGTGCGGCCATGGGAGAATGGTCGGTGTAAAGTTTTGTCATAGCCAGTCCGCTTTCCTGTTTCTCGATGGGTCGCTTTATCTCCCCACCAGAACACTCGGCGTACTTTGTGCTAAAGCACCGGTAGATGATTTTGTTCGAGCAACGACCAGGTAGCCGTGACCGGGCTTATCATTGTGATCGCTTTCCTTCAAAAGGCAGTGCGAACTCCGGACCCGTGCCAAGATGCAGGTACGGTACCACTGGATGCGGAAGAAATCCGTCTGGTCGAACTCTGGAAAAGTCTCTGAACACACTTTTGCAATGGTATCACAAGAAGCTTGCGTAAGTCCTTCAGGTTCCCACTTTTCGGATGAGGACGCCTTTGAGGAGGGTGCAACCGAGGAAGAGGACGAGGATGAAAATGAAGGGCTTTTCTTGTGTGCCTTCTTATTGCTCTCAATCGCCTTGTAGAGCCAGTCGGGAGTAGGCTTTAGCGAAGCTCGCAGCTGTGTGCGGGGTACTGCCCACCGATACTCAAAGACATGCTGTTTGTCCGGACTCCAAAGCTTTGTCGGTTCGACGAGGATGGTGTACTTATCCCCGCCTCGGAGGTCAACATCCAGCTTGATATCTCCCGGGAAGGAAATGTTCTGCTGACCTTCCAAGCCGCGAAGGCGCTCGTCTGACCGAAACAGGTAGTGTCGTCCAACCCCCGATGCTGAACGGCTGTCTCGATAGGTTTGCCTTCAGCTTCCAACCAAGAATCGAACTTCGCTATGTCGTCAACATCGACTGCGAAAGTGTCACTCTTAGGCCCACAGAGCAACGCGATCGCGTTTACTTTCGTCAAGGCTTTGAATCTTTCAAGGCAATCATCAAGCGTGGTGCTCGTGAACTCCTTCTCGAAGGTCATTTGCTTTTTGAACTTTCCTAGCTCTTGGTTCCACTTGTAGCCTTTTACCTTGGCAGGCACAGGGATGAATCCTTGCCTCTGATACTCTTCCGCTGCCTCCAGCAGCTGCCCTTTTGAGATGCCTTTCGCATCAAACTCGGAAAGACGGGGTTTCTTGAATGTGTTGCTCATCCTGGCCTAAGCACGGTCCTGTTATAAGGACAAGAAAAGAGATAACTGCATCCAAACGCAGGGAAACGCAGCAGATTAAAAATGATGTTGGCAGCCTATAGGTACAGGACAAAGACTCGCCATGAAGACACAGAAGTACACATACACTGCTCACCTCGATGTCGGCGGTTTCCAGAAGACTTTCACAGCCGATACGATCCGAAACTTAGCAATGCTTCTCAATATCAGTAAAGATTCAGTCCTTCGCGCGGTTACCAGGGCTGGAATGTATCAGAGTCGCTAGCCGTATAGGATTGAGCGTAGTAAGTTGCTCTGTACATGACCTCCTTTTATAGACGCGGGCAGTGATTGGAGAACTTAGATCACTTAGAATGATTATACCGTTTCCAGCAAAGTCCCACAGTACCGCCCTTTCATCTCTAAGCTACCATCCTTTTTCCTTCCTTATTCTCAACACTTTCTCAAAAAAGGTTCTAAGAAGTATAAGACGGTCAGATTCGGACGAGTACCAGTTGAGCAATGATGGAGAGGTGCTATATGCGGGAATGGTGGTATAATATGCGGTTCTAAGACGCATAAGGTACTACCATCTACGCTTCCACTGTGAGGTCCTTTTGGCCGCGCACGATTTAAACATACTCCTCAACCTGTCGGAGAGGCATGTTGGAGAGGCGCCACCAGCTTGGTATGCACAACATGTGACTTCGGCATCCGCAACGCCAGTTACACATTTGGGGGAATCGATAATATCCTTCTTGATGGTACGCACACTCTCCCCAGACCCAATCAACTTCAAGATACCTTTCAAAGCAGTAGTGACGACGAATGTACCCGCCGCTAGCGTTCTCAACGTATTGGAGGTGACATTTTTCGAGCGCCCCGACGTGCGTGATATCAACGCAACGACCATCAGGATAGACTCTTGTTCTCAAATGGATGACCCCTCTGGTTCCACCGATTGTTTGTTGCCAGGCGTCTACGACAGCGTCGTCGTAGTTCCAATCGTACTCAAGACGGGCTCGGCTCGTCATGTGAGCCTCCAACTTGGCACGTAGGAGGTCCATGCGTCCGAAAGTGAAGAGGAGCGACCGATGGTCGTTGTGTGGGAGAAAGTCCACGATCCTGTTTATGATTTCCGGAGGGAAAGGAGTCATGTTGAATGTATAAATGCTACATACATGTATACATTCCATCACCGTATATGCGAGGGCTTTTTATGTACGCGTTTGCTCTCTGAGTTTATCGATAAACGCGATGCGAAATCAGCTTGTCGATTCTGTTTCTGCTTTCTTGCCTTGCGGCTTCCTACCTTTGGCTGGTGAAGGCGGGTAGACCACACTGACAGTTTCTAAGAAGATATCTTCACTGATTTCTTCATACAGTTTACCCCAGATTCGCGCTCTGACAGTCTCGTCAAGGATCAGCCATAGAGAGTTGCTGGCGAGTTTCTCCTTCAACGGTTCCCAACCTTGCTGTCGGATGCGGTCCCTCTGTACTTGCGTTAAGCTTGTATAAACCATCCGTCAACGTCTTTCTTAGTAAAGTAACTTAAAAAAACATCTATGTCCGGGGACATCCAATCGCGTCTACTTTTACGTCGGCTAAAAAGGATGGCCGAAGTGTGGAGACTATGGGAACGGAATGACCTGCTGCTCTTGACACGAAAAGGATGGAGACATGTTCACGAGTCCAATCCCAAGGAAGCTTTTGCAGCAGCGTGGCTCATAGCAATGGCCATTCAGTGAGCATTGTCGTACTCTTCAACCAGAACGGGTGCTGTTTCCAGCAGCTCCGTTCGCGGCTCCCAGGTGCTTTCACTTTCAGGATAGCCTACGTAAAGGACTCTGTACTCCACAACCTGCCTTCCCCTTACGCGTCTAGTCCGCTTCCCGATCAAAGCTTCTACCTCGTATTCATCGTTGTCGTCGGGGGGGAGCGGGACCGAGCCTTGATCCTCGTTTGTTTCAGGCGGCACTAGCCTCAGCGAGGATGCAGGATAGAGACCTCTCATGACCTCTCCCCGGCCTATATCGAACAGTTTGTATGATGCTGAGTAATTGGCAAAGTTACTCTTCACCATCTGCATCACCCTGTACGTCTCATCCCCAAAGTAACCCGTTTTCGCCCGTCGCTGGATGTTAGTCCCACCGGTTCCTTTCAGCATCCGAACAACATCCCCGACCTTGAGTGGTGGCTGCAACTTGATTCCCCTACCCTTAGTCTTGCCCGTCACCAGCCGCTGATAGATCTCACCTTTCTCATCCTCTCCAGCTGCTTCTGCTTCCAACGGGGACACTCCAGTCGTTCGCGTTTTCGTGGAGTTGACATTCTGGACGAGCTGCGGCAGGGATGCCGGCCAGTTTCTATCACCAAGTCTTATCCCGGCGTAGAGCAACCGCTTCAAAGTGCCATTAATACGCTCGACTTGACCCTGAGTCCCTGGCCGACCGGGCTTCCCGAAGGACCACGTAACCCCCTTCTCTCGCGCCCACGTTTGCACAGTACCTTGGAATTCAGACCCGTTGTCACTCGTGAAGGATCTAAGCTTGACCCCAGGCGTAGCTTTCATCTGGTTGAGAAAGCGAACCACATTTGCCTGATCCTGTGTCTTCATGGCCATGGAGAAGAGGCGTTTGGAGAATATGTCAACCGCGTTCACGATGTAACGGAACCTGCCGAACGCCACCGCGCTGAGGTTGATACAATCGATCTGGAAAGCACCAGGTGAGGATGAAAGGATGGGACGGATGCTGCCTCCACTTCCATGCGGCGGTGTCGTTTGCTGCCATATCTTCTGTCTCTTGAGCCACGAGAGAATCGTTCGCTGTGATATGGTGGAATCGGGAAAGGCTTTGCGGAAAGAAAACCAGAGCCGATCTCTGCCTAAGATGTTTTTTTTTTCATAGTAGAAGCGCTTCAAACGTGCCTCATCCGCCGCGGTGACTGCCTTGTGGTAGTCCTGCCTCTCGGGCAGGGGGCCTTCATCTGCCATGTTCTTCCTTGTCACTTCTTTGCCTTTGTTGAAGTAATTTCTTTCATCGGCGCTGGCTTGCCATGTTTGAATACATCCTTGTTCTCATGTGCCTTCAAATCCACGTACATGAAATTGAATGGCTGTTTGGTATACGCGTCTGCAAGCGAGATGAACTCCTTCTGCGAGACATGACACGCGACTTCCGGTGCAATCTTCTCATATTGCTTTAGATTGAGGCGGTACAGAACCCAATGGGTGCTATTGACCCGAACTAGAGGGGACATTTGCAGGGAGTCATGATAGGACACGATCAGACTGCAGCCTCGATGCGGAGGTCGACTATAGAGAAGATCGAGCATCTGCTTTATCCCGCTCGATACAAGCTCAGGCTGCTTAGGTGGTTTTCCGATATCTGGTCCTTTCTCTTGACTGAGGATACCAAAGTCGTCGATGACGATCAGCATATGATTCTCTTCCTTATTCGCCGCATACAGCTTCGTCTGGCGCTCGAACAGGGTATGGAGCACGTGATTTGAGATAAGATCTGCTACTAATACATTTTCGTGCTTACGTAAGGCAGTCCAAGTTACATCTGAACTGGATGGCGTGAAGACAACAACTATACTGTACACGGGCGCCAGTTTGTCTATGAAGTTGACTATTGAGGTTGTCTTGCCACTCCGCGAACTCCCTACCATTGTCAAAGCAAAGAACTTTCTCGGGTAGCTTTGAGGTGTCTCATCCTTGAGATGGATCTCGAACTCCTTTGGTACCTTAGCCTTAGAAACTTCCGGGGCGTCTCAGGCGTCTCACTTTGTGTTATTTTCTTAGCAACCCAATATAAACAGTAGACATCACGCAGCTAAGCAATGTACCGAGAGCTGATCCTGAACACGGGAACCTTGGCTGATCTGAATCAAGCCACTTTTCGCATGTCGCCTATAGCCTGCTATGGTTTTCGAGTCGTAAGTGTCTGCTTCCTTCAAAACATGGATGCCACAGATGTGTCCAACAGTTCCATCATGTTTGTCGAGCAAGGCTCTTTGACGCCCATCAAGGCGACTCTTCCGTCCGGAACTTACAGCAGTGCCAGCATCCTGGACGCTGTGGCCAGCGCATTGACTTCGAAGGGTACGCAAGCGTATCAATGCGAATACAACGAAGTCACGCGTCGGTTAAGGGTTAAAACCACTGGGACAAAGCAGTTCAAGATTCTTGAAGGGAATCGCGGATCGAGCGCGTACTTACAGCTTGGAATCTCCAAAGCTTCGGAGACTGGCTACGGCACATCGTTTGAGCTACCAAACACGCTGAACCTTTCTGCATCCCAACCTATCCTCTTGACATCCTGGACGCTTCAAACCAACGGAGCTGTCCTCTATCCAGCGGGGATCAACAGTGATATGAATATTCTCTGTGCCATTGTTCCAGATAATTTCAACGATGTGATCACATGGGTGAACCCAAGCGACCGCTTCCATGCTCTTGAAGACACTACTCTCACCGAAGTGGACATCGCTCTAGTCAACAGCGCAACGCTGCATGAGATTCAGACCAATAGCCCTATGATAGTCACGATTGGTATCTTCGATGACCCCTCAGACATGCTCCCGAATCGCGTGGCGTAGACGAGATGAATAGCCTCACGAATTTTTTTCTACAGGTAGCTTCATAACAGAAGCTGCAATGGAGGATTATAAGGATAGGCCAGTACAGGAGAACGCAAATCGGCCTCCTACTCCAGTCCCTGCGGCAGACGATGGTCTCGATGAGGTCCTTGACGCAACCATCAAAGAGCGTCAGAAGAAGCCCAGAACACCAGCCCAGCTGGAGGCACTGAAGCGTGCTCAGCAGAAACGCGCGGAGAACCTGCGGAAGCTGACTAAGATGAAAAAAGAGCAGGAAGCGGAGGAGGCTAAGCGGCGGGAGCTGGAGCAGAAGGAAGCAGAAAAGGAACGAGCTCGGAAGATCATAGAAAAGTACGAACGGGAGAAGGAGAAAGCGAAACTGAAAGCAAAGGAGGAACGGGCTGCCAGAAAGGCTGAGCGCCATCAGATGGCAGGGGTCCAACCTAAGCAGACGGCAGCTAAGAAGCCACAACCTTCACGTCGGGCTGCAAGCCCAGAGTTACCTGATGATATCGCTTACAGTTCCAAAGATGAAGAGACGGTTGTGGATGGCCCTTCCGCCCAGTCAACACGCGTAGACGAATTCATGGGCATCTTCGGATCGCGTTGGAGTTAGGATTGGCATGTGCTGGCAACTTTTTTTTCTCAATCCCTAACCAAGTAACGTAGAGGGAAGGTGGTGAAGCACACCTAAACATGAGCACAAATCCCGTGGTACCTGCTAACTGGCAGTACGCTAGTAGGCAATTCTCGATGCATAGCGACGCCCTGAGTGAAAACATCGCCATCTATCGTCCGATCAAGGAAAATTTTGATTCGAGGACAAGCGCAAATAGTGTCAAAGTAGTGATTGACAGTAACTCGTCGTTCCTGCGGCCCCAAAGGTCATACCTGAGTGGGACCGTCTCCCTTTTCAACGCCGATGGGACAGCTCTGAAGACGGCCACTGTGTCCGACATTGGCGCAATGGGGTGCTTCAGATCAGCTTCCATTAGAATCGGCGGGAAGCTTGTAGATGAGATTACCGATTTTCCCTTGTTCTTGACCGACCTGTACCAATTCGTGGACAAGGAAAGGCGAAAGTATCCTGCATACCACGAAGGGGTAGCGGCTCCAAACGCTTTCAAAAACGATGCTGGGGGTTTCACTTTCAAACATCATCTTCAGTTTGGGAGCATGAGGCCCCTGAACGGTCAACCGCTGCCTCTGTGCGTCTTGCCTAACCAAGCTTGTGAGCTGTCCTTGCCTCTCAACACCCCCCAAAGCGCGTTCACAGATGCTCCTGCCGGTTCCTACTTCACCGTGAGCAACCTCCGCTACGTGGCCCAGCTTGTCACCCCAAGCAGCGAGTATCTTTCCACGCTCTGGAAGGGAATCCAGGCGGGCAAGTACCTGGAGATGGACTTCGTGTCTGTCAACCAGCTGTCCAATACCTGCAGTGGGGCGTCTCAGAACAACTTCATCCTGCCATTGACGAATAGCCGTGTCACTGGTCTCACTCACCGCTTCCGGGACGATAACACCTATGCAACGACCACGGGAGACAAGTTGCGTATCTACACCACAGCTAACTTGAAGTCGTGGCGATTTCAGCTAGGCGGTTGGCGTCTCCCTCTCACAGACGACTTCGACGTGTCTGACAGTGTCATGATCGGTGCCCTGTCCATGAGTGATAACGCCAGTTACTACTCGGAAGATGTGGATCTGACAAACTTCTTCACCGAACGGTTTGTCATGCGATACAGCTGGCAGTCATCTGATGAGGACACAGAGTCTTCGTTGAACGTTGTCGGATCAGACGGTAACCTCCGCGTAATCACAACGCACGCGTTACCGGCGCCAAGCACGGCCGTGTTGTTGCTAACTACTGTCTACAACCACCGCACGCTCCTCATTGGGTCCACGGTGGACGTCGTATAGTAGCAATTTTTTTCTAGTTGTAGAGACAGAAGCGAGACTCATAAACGTATGGCGAGGAAACTAGCACTTACAACAGCACGAACAGGATCAGGGAAACCTAAGAAGGGGGTCATTCCTCCCCAGTTAAGAAGATTCGTGTTGGAGCGACAGGCTGCGGCGAAGCGCAGGGGACGATAACCATACGGCACATTTTTGCTGGCCCAAACTGGCCGTCGAGTTTATCGATAAACACAATACTCATCGATAATCTCATCGATAAACACAAGACTTCGTTCGCACCACCGTACATAAGACGGTGGCGCAGGCGATAAGACGCGCAGTAACCCATACATACATAGAACGAGTGAAGACATGGGATGAGTAAACTTACTTAGCCTTCCCTTTCCCTTTCCGAGTCGAGGTCTGTTTGAATCCAGCGTCGTCAGACAACTTCTCAGGTGCTGCAGCTTCTCTCTTGGATGATCTTACGGCCGGTGCCTTTCCTTTGCCTTTAGCTGCCTTTTGTAAGGGGACAACCGGAGTGTCTTGGTCGGCCTCCACCGTATATTCAGGGCCGAATATTTCCGTCTGGGTTGGATCTGCGGTTCGTTTCAAGCTGCTAGGACCAGGAGCAGAAGGCTGGGGTTCGGGAGAGAACTGGGGTGCTACGTCCGGAGAGATAGACATAGGTCGTGTAGACCTCCCGCTGCTATGCCCATACCGCTCTGGGGATGAATTCAGGCTGCTTTGACCAAAGATAGAATCGACGGATGGAAGGGATGGAGTCGGTGACCCCCTCGGTTGCCACTGGGTCTGGATAGGTGGAGGAACGGGACGACTGGAGGCAGCTGCCGGTGTGGAAGGAGGTGAGTACTGCGTTCCCATATCGGCAACCTCCTGCGTTCTCTGCTTCTTCAAAGTCTCTATAAGGGTTCGCATAGCTGCTATCTCGGTGATTGCTACCGGAGAAATTGTCTCAACCTGCTTCACGAGACGCAACATCTCGTCTGGACTGATCGTCGCAGGAAGGCTACTTTCCTGGAAGCCCATGGAAACGAGGATGTTCTTGAATGTGGACATAGTGGCAGCTGATATGTTACCCAGCTGGGCTTCCTGCCCCCGAAGCTGCTGCTGAAGCGTCTCGTTCCCGAAACGCAGCTGGTCCATGAACGTCTGGAAGCGGCCGCCGTTTGCGAATATGAGGTCCAATGTGGTTCTGCCAATGTCAGGCATGTTGGTTTCCGACGCCACCGAACGCATATCGCGAACTGCATGTTTGGGGGGAGACAGGACGGGACTGGTCTGAGTTCCGAAAGTGATTCCCGACACCTTTCCCAGTCGCCCAATTTCGTCGGTCAGACTCTCGCCATCATCGCGTTTCGTCACAACGGGATTGATTCCAAGGATGGGCTTTCCTGCATTGCTGTTGCCCTTCTCTGGCAGATGCGAATCGCCGCCTCGCTGGACGTTGCTGGTCACATCCCCCACAAATTGGTTCTGCTGAGTTCGCACCCATGCCGGCTGGTGGAAGATGGTGGCTGAGCCGTCTGAGTTCGTCTGGGATGCAACCGATCTGGGTAAGGCAATGGTCCTGCCCCTACGCGGGAAAAGATTATTGGCGTCGAGCTCATCGAAATAAGCTTGCTTCGCCCGTTCCTTCTCCACGGCATGGAGAGCATCAACCGCATCCCGAGCGACCTTGCTTTGGTACGGAGCAGCTCGGAGGGTGACTTTCTCTGCAACTGAGAGCGGTCTGTTGAAGACATCTTTCACCACGCCCTTTCCTGGCACGTAAAACCCTGTATGGAACAATCTGTTGAACGTTGCCCCTGGTTTACCGCGGATGAAGCCGTACTGTCTCGCATGGATGTTGAGAATAGGCTGGTTTGGGTAAGTAAAAGCAGCAGCAGTTGGCAGGCCAGCGTTTCTGTCGTCGAATTCAACCATCTGTGGTTTCTTTTTCTCTTTGCGCTAAGTAAGAGAAAAAGAAACGCAGGCGGCAAGCAGCACGGATGGGATTCTTTGACAAAGCACGAAGCAAAGCAAACACTTTCTTTTCGAAAGTTCCAGGTCACATTCAGAAGGCTCGGGGATTCCTCGATCAAGCGGTCTCGGGTGTCAGGACTGGCCACAAGCTCTTAACTCATGTCCACCAGGGAGTCGAAACCAATGATATCTTCGACGACAAGGTGAAGGAAGCTTCACGTAAGGTAGGCTCCTTTGCTGATCTAGGGCTAAAGAAGGTTGATGCTTACCACAAAGGAGGCGATCAATTCCTCGGGCATCTGCAGAACATTCCTCTGGCCTGAGCAGATCTCATATCGCTTTTTTTTCCCTCCCTTGTTATCAATCTAGGAATCATCTGCTTCCTCCGAGATGAACATCAACTCTCGGACAAGCAGCGGCATCAGGACGCTGGATCGGCTCAACCTGGTAGCGCCCACCGTGAGTAGTTCGATCAAAGCTGCTGGCGACAAAATGTCTATGAGTGGCTTCGATTCAGCGGCGTTTCGGGCCGTGTCCAACGAGAATGGCCCGTTGGAAGTGAATCGCGTAGGGGCCACCGAGCCGCTGGAATCGAAGACCGAAGCCGGGCTGGCAACCGTCAGCCTTGTTCATGATGAGACCCTCCGAGTCACTGGTAAACTCGGCACAACTCCCGTGCCAAAAGTTGAGGTCATCGCGCCTCTAGATGAGACGGACAACCGCCTTACACTGAAATGGACGGATCCATTAACGGTCACGGATGAGGGCCTGACGCTCTCGTACGACCAAGATACCTTGAAGGTCAATGATGGGGAGCTTTCCGTAGTCTTCCCTGCCCCAGAAACACTTCAGCCTCCTCTGATTCGAGACAGGGATGGCATCGAATTGCGGCACGATTCTACGCTCGTTGTAACGGCGAATGGAGACTTGTCCGTCCCAAAGGAACCGCTAAAGCAACCCTTAACGCGAGACGGGTCAGGCGTAGGGTTGAAATTGAATACGGATGACTTCGCCGTGGACGCCACGGGCGCTTTGGCCATCGTCCCAACAAACTATGAAGCTCCTCTGCATGAATCTGCCACAGCAGACAAGACCGTGTCCTTGCACACGGATGGCAGTCTCCATGTTTTAGATGGGGCTTTGAGCGTAGTTCCAGAGGCCATTGAGGCGCCTTTGACGCGCCAAGATGGAACTTTGAGCATTTCCCTAGGTAAGGGTCTTGAAGTAACCGACGAAAATGAATTGGGTACCAATATCTCCCAGGTGGTGTTCGGCAGAGGAGCCGTCAGCAGCGATAAAGCCTCCTCACTGGCGCTGGATGATCACTTGGAGCTCGGATATTCGACCATCAGCGAGCTGCTGGATGATGATGTTGACGCGGACGCGAGCGTCATCCGCTTGAAAACCAGTGAGGATTTTCAGCAGACAAATGGACGCCTGGCGATCCGCTCAGCTGGAAGGGGGTGGGTACCTTTCCACAACGCCATATCTGGCTTAAACTCGGACTCGGGTTTCACATATAACGAGACGCTGAACGAACTAAGAGCGCCGCACGTAATAGTCAACAGCAACTTCTCCCCGTCAAACAACGAAGTTCCTACAAGCGCCTATGTGGAACAGCTGTATCAGAGCGATACGGGCTCCCCTATTGATATCAGCGGAGTGAGCGGATGTAGGCGGACGGTGAGTTTGCGTACGGACGCTACTTTGGCGGTCGAGAACCAGGTGTTGGGGGTCAACGTTACGCCATTGGTGGACAACAAAGGTGTTCGAGTGATTGACGGTAAGATCGGTATCGGACTCACGTTCCAGCCAGGAAACGGCGGTCTCAAGATAGAGAACCAGAATCAGGTCAAACTTGCACCTACCGTCTCCGGAGCCATAACCTTTGACGGGAACAACACGTTCGGAGAGAAGCTGACCGCCAGCCAAGGTGTGAAGAGGGTCGAGAATGATCTCCAACTGGACCTACAGGCCGGAGACTCCACAGTCACCGTTACCGGGAACTCAGTGAAAGGAAACTATCAAGCGAACAACGGTGTCCATCCCACAGGGAACACGATCTCAGGAGCGTACACAGCGGGAAACAACATTGGCATAAGCGGCTCAACGATCTCATGCACGTACCAGCCCGAACCCGAAGCGCCGACAGTAATAACTGGCACTCTTCCCATCATAGTGACCGGAGCTGACAAGGATTTCAATATCTCTAAGCAGCCGCTGGTGATCTCTGGGGGGGCGGGAATTATAGTGGCAGGTTCTGAGAGTACCGGTTACGTAATCAGCAGCGTTCAGCCTTATAAGCAGAAGAAGCAGGACTCTGACCCGGAGGAGAACACAGAGGAGTCTGATCCGTTTGCAGAGAGTGACCCGTTGACCGCTTCTGGATCCTCTCCCGTTGTCAGTGTGACTGGCCCCCTCGGGTTTCTTCTCAGCAGCGGTGCGTCGCTCATAGGAGGGCCTTTGGCCAGTGGTGTGGCTGTTGCGCCTACCTCAGCCTTCGGCGCTCTTGGGGCTCTCGCGGGAGCTGTTGGGGGAACAACCATTGTAGGCGGCTTTGCATCTGTTTTTGGACGCGAACAAAAGAATAAGACAGACGCTAGCGGGAATCCGATCATAGACGCCAACAACAACCCGGTGCTAGAAGACGGCTGGCAAGTTATCATTTCGACGCTGCCGAAACCCGACGACACCTCCTGTGATGTTACAAGGTTATTATTTGACACTCCCAGTGTTTGTTCGTACCGCGGGGTACTGAATGAAGTCCCGCAACAAGCCGTCAATCTCGACATCCTTAAACAGTACCATACTGCGGCAATCAAGCCTCAGATAGATCTCAAGTTCGACAAAACAGGAATTCTTCCCTATGCCCAGCTGAGCGGCGTACCGGACCTTTCCGTCTACGAGAAGAAGCTCACTTTCGCTCCTTCCCCTGTGCTGACACGAGCAGCGGACACGGTGACTTTCGACTCGACCAAGATCACTTCTCTCGGCACAGTGACCCTTTCTGGAGGCCTGACAGGGACAACAGCTACCTTTTCCGGAGCTATCAGTTCACCTACGCTCAGTAACTATCTCCTCTCAGCCACAGCTGCTACCTCCTATCAACCGCTGAATGCTAAGCTATCGACAATCGCTGCAAGTACAGCGGCTGCTTCGTACTTCCTTGTTGGTGACGGGACTAATTATGCCTCGACCAGCCCAACGAACGCTAGATCGGCGCTCGGACTTGGCTCTTTTTCCCTCAAGTCATCGCTGGACCTAGCATTGGACGTCGGCACAAGTGTCCTGCCGGAGCCAAGGATAGACGCATTGATAGCCAGGAAGACCTATGTTGATTCGCTTGTTGTTACCGCCGGCTCTGGTTTGACGAAGACGGGCACAGCATTCAGTGTCAACGCCGCCCAGCCTGGCATCACCAGTGTTGGGACTCTCGGGTCTCTTTCCGATCTTGGTAACAGTCGGACGCAGGGTGTCATTGTGCAGGGGTCGCAGCCGGCGCTGAATCTATCGAGTACGGCAACCGGAGGGGCTTGCTGGCAGTTATATTCGACCGTAACCGGTGATTCACTGGGTCCCGGGTTCCTTTCGCTCTTGAATACCACTGGAGGCGGGTCTACACCGGTTCTCAACGTCAATGGGAATGATCTGACGGTCACTATTGCAAGGGCTCTAATAGTTAGTGGAGCGGTGACTGTTCCTGCCACCCCTAGTAACCCTACTCACGCTGCATCAAAGGGATACGTTGACGGATTGATCAACACCACACAGACGGGAGCGCAACCGCTGAATAGCAAGCTCAGCACCATATCGAACGCGACTGCCACTGCTAGCTACTTCCTTGTAGGAGATGGGACAAACTTCATCTCGACCAGTCCTGCCGCTTCTAGAAGCGCCCTCGGGCTAGGCTCTACTGCGCTGAAGAACAGTATCACTCTGACAACAGACGTGACGGGAGTGTTGCCTCTCGCCAACCTCGATTCGCAAGTGAGTACCAAAGCTTATGTTGATGCGCAGACAACAACCGCTGGCAGCAACCTCAGCAAATCAGGAACGACCCTATCTCTGGTTCCAGACGCATGGCTGAACAGTCTATACCTAACCTCCACTGACTTGACCTCGTCTGCCTTGACCGTAGACGGCATCGGTCAGTTTGGTCAAGTCCAAGCGTCTGACCTTGTTGTCTCTGGGGGCAGCGATCTACAAGACGTGACGGTCAACGCCAGTTTGAATGTAATTGGTGCTTCCAGCCTAAGCGGTCTTGATGTCACTGGGAATGCAAGTATATCTGGTGTATTAAACATTGGGGGAACAGCCACCGTGTCAACACCAACCCTAAGTTTGCATGCGGCAACGAAAGCCTACGTAGACGGTCTTTATACTGCTGGAACAGGATTGACACGCACTGGAAACGCCTTCAGTGTGAACGCAAGTCAACCAGGGATAACATCTCTGGGGACATTGCAAACCAACTCCACAACATCCGATGTTCTCAAGATCCAGAGTCTTTCGGCATCGGGGTTTTCCACTATTGGCTTCTTGAACAACACGGGAACGGTAGTGGGCGCTTTTGGTTATGCTGGAACCGGTACAAGTGCTCCCAATGCTGGAAACTTTTTCCTCTATTCCGGGTCAGCGGCAAACTTCGTGATCAATAGCAATGTTCCAAGTGTGCAGATTCTATCCACGGCAGACTCCTCATCTTCGACATCAGGTGCATTTCAAGTCAAAGGTGGAGCCGGGTTTGCAGGCAATGTTAACGTAGGAAAGGACTTGACCGTTGCGGGTACAATCTACAGCAATATCAGTTCGGCAGGACCGATTGTTCAGTCGCACTTAGGAGCTCCTAACCTTTCTGCCGGAAGTTTCACGACGTTACAGCTCGGTGTTTCGGCAGGTACTTAGGGTTAGGGTTAGGGTTAGGGTTAGGGTTAGGGTTAGGGTAAGGGTTAGGGTTAGGGTTAGGGTTAGGGTTAGGGTTAGGGTTACAAGACCCCCTGGGTTGGGTTTTATTATTGAGTTGCCTGGAACCCTAGGGACTTAGAAATTTTCGAGTTTTTTGGTTTTGGGCAGTGTTCTACAGTTCAGATTCCAGGTTCCAAGGGGTAGGGTGCCGGGGGTGGTGCGCACCTAGGCAAGTCACAGGGGACCACGTGTGCAAGGGTAAGTGATGGGTTGGGTGCGGGTGGTGTGGCCAGGAGCGGGGAGGGGTGCAAATGGGGGGGATGCGGGGCAGGGGTTGAGTGTAAAGGGGAAATATAGGGTTAGGGTTAGGGTTAGGGTTAGGGTTAGGGTTAGGGTTAGGGTTAGGGTAGGTTACAAGACCCCCTGGGTTGGGTTTTATTATTGGGTTGCCTGGAACCCTAGGGACTTAGAAATTTTCGAGTTTTCTGGCTTTTGGGTGTGTTCTACAGTTCGAATTTTTGACTCTGAGGGATGTAGTGGCGGGGGGGTGTTGCGCACCTAGGCAAGTCGGGGAGGACTAGGTGTGCAAGGGCAAGTGATGGGTCATATGGGCGGTGGTGCGGGTACGGGGGGCGGCAGGGGTGCCAATAGGGGGGGGGGGGTTGATGTAAAGGGGACATATATGTTATATATACGTTATAGGACTTGTGCAAATTGGGATTCTTATAGTGCCGATCCGGAGTTGGCGTCCTAATTGAAAAGTTGGACCCATATCATATTCTCTAATTGAAGTACTCTCGGATTGGCAATCCGTGCGGAAACGGCTTCAGAAACTTAGAAAAACGAAATTTTCACGCGACGGGGGGTAAAAAGTTGGAAAATGTGGTGATATCTCAACATCTGGCTGACTATCCAGTGTAGGGCACTTAATGAAAGTTGATTGTAGCTTATGGTTTGCATAGCTGATGTGGTAGCAAATCTTGTGTAACCTTGCTTTTGGCTGAAGAACAGGGCCCCTTTTCAATTCTCAAGTAGTGACCCCCAAGACCTCCTAACAAAAGACACGAGTACGTATGTGCAGGCAAAGGGGTTTGGCTGTGTTCTCCAGTAAACATTTTGTGATTCCGCTGTGCATCGTAGACTGTTTGTAGGACCGTTGCGGAATGTCATTTACCAAAACTGTTAAACATTTTCCATTTAAAGCAGTGTTCTACAGTTTGTCCATGCAGGTTAGAGCACGTGACCTGGGCTTGCTTGCAGGGTACGCAGAGTGAGAGGGTTGGGGTTAGAGATTTCCCAGATCACTTATTAAATTCAGCCAAACTGTCTCTGTCATGGAACATTTAAAATGGTGGAAAGTAGTATTGCATTTATTGATTTAGAGTACATTGGAAAAGCGCACATTCAGAAAAGGGTTTTGGTGTAAAGTTATCAACGACATTCAACAGTACTAAAGGACTTCCGCAAGCATGTCACGGACTTGGTTCTGTCCAAAAGTCGTACGGCACTCAGGGTACCTGGCGCAGCGGAGACGGAAACGATGCTGACCGCCAATGCTATGAAAAGCTGAGCCTCCACAGTTGGGACATTGAAGCTGATCACGATGCTGATGGAAGAGTTCACAGGATATTGCCAATGGGAGCAGCATCAGGCACTTCCCCATCCCCATGACCCCACCAAGCACGAGCAGGATCAATGACGGGTGCAATGCCTTTGAACCATCCGGGATTGAAACCAAAAGAGTTGAGAACATCTCGGAAGCGCTGACAGTCTGTCACAGTAGTCTGTCTATTGCGATCTCCTCTGAATAGAACTCTGGTGGCAGCGTCCATGATGCCATTGATGAGACTGTAGTACTCTTCCACCGGCACAAGCTTCAAGGAGTTTGCGCCC